TGGGCGTGCAGGGGCCCCGGGCCAGGGAGCCGGGCAGGGCCGCGGGCGGACAGCCCTCTCTGCCTGACCCGGCCGGCGCCCCCGACTGTCTGGCAGATGGCGGAGTACAAGCGGGCCACGCTCCGGGACGAAGACGCACCCGAGACCCCCGTAGAGGGCGGGGCCTCCCCGGACGCCATGGAGGTGGGCAAGGGGTTCCCCTCTCTCCAGGCTCCAGCCCTGGCGTGACGCTGCCACACCCAGGAGCTCTGGGCTGTCCCCGAGGGTCCCTCCCCCACCTCCGCTCCATCTCTGGCCTCGGCGCTGGGACTGTGGAGGCGACTCCGCGCCATGACGCTGCACAAAACAGGCTCAGGGCTCCGCGCCTGCCCCGTGCCCCGGACCCAGAGCGGGCCCCGCTGGCTCTTCTCTCCATGGCTACGAAGTGCCGGTAGCCACTCGCCCTCTCCCCCTGTGTCCTCAGGTGGGGTTCCGGAAGGGGACCACACAGCTCTTGGGCTCGCGGACGCAGCTCGAGCTGGTCCTGGCGGGGCTCTCTCTTCTGCTGGCCATGCTGCTTCTGGGCTGCCTGGTGGCCCTGGGGGTCCAGTACCACAGAGGTAGGTGGACCACCTGTCACAGCCCTCACAGCTGTGGGGGCTCTCCAGCGCTTTCCCTGGTGGGGGCCAGCCTTCCCCACCCAAGGGCCTTGGCTTTCTCTCTCTTCCCCACCTTCCCACTGTGGTGGCCCTTGGGAAGGATCTGCCTGTCCCAGACTGGCTGTGTCCTACTTCTGCCCTGTCCCCTGCCACAGGCCCATCCCACAGCACCTGCCTCACAGAGGCCTGCATCCGAGTGGCTGGAAAAATCCTGGAGTCCCTGGACCGCGGGGTGAGCCCCTGTGAGGACTTTTACCAGTTCTCCTGCGGAGGCTGGATTCGGAGGAACCCCCTGCCTGACGGGCGTTCACGCTGGAACACCTTCAACAGCCTCTGGGACCAGAACCAGGCTGTACTGAAACACCTGCTTGGTGAGTGGGCATCTATGGGTGTGAGTGTAGATCTGGGGCAGCCCAGAACCAGGCCTTACTAAAACACCTGCTTGGTGAGTGGGCATGCGTGGGTGTGGGTGTTTATGGGGGCGCAGCAGGTGCTCCGTGAATGTCCACCAATGAAGAGGAAGTGGATGGCTGGAGAGCGCTCCTGAGGGAGGGGATGCAGAGAGCCGGGACTCCCAAGAAGGGCCACGGTGGGCGGGTGGGCCTGAGTGCCAGGAGAACTGCTCTCTGCTCTCTGCTCTCCTGGAGCAGCCGGGCAGGGTGGGCAAGGCCTGGACAGCGAGCCCGTCGTGCCCAGTTGTCTCCGAGGGTCTCCATGGACAGGGGAGAGGAGGCCACGGTTTGCTGTTTCTGACAGTCTTCCTTGGTTTGGAACATTGAGAAGCAAGGAGAAGGGCCAAGCAAAGGCAGGGTCTCCCCCTTGGTAGTTTACGCCACCCAGACTCTGCCTCCACCCCACAGAAAACACCACGTTCAACTCGAGCAGTGAGGCCGAGCGGAAGACGCAGCGCTTCTACCTGTCCTGCCTTCAGGTGGAGCGCATCGAGGAGCTGGGGGCCCAGCCGCTGCGCGACCTCATTGACAGGGTAGGGTCACCCGTGGGCTGTGGGCAGGGGGAGCTGGAGGGGCCGTGGGAGAGGGGGTGCCCTGTGCCATGGTTCCACTAGGGGCTCTACTCAGATCGGTGGCTGGAACATTACGGGGCCCTGGGACCAGGACAACTTCATGGAGGTGCTGAAGGCAGTAGCTGGGACCTACAGGGCCACCCCGTTCTTCACTGTCTACGTCAGTGCCGACTCCAAGAGTTCCAACAGCAATGTCATCCAGGTACAGGCCAGGCCGGTGGGGAGGGACTTCTGGCCCCCGCTGAGCCTGACTCCCCGCCCTTGGGTTGGCTGGACTGACAGCCCTGCACCGGATCCAGTTCTGGGGAGAGGCCTCACTTTCTCTCCCCACAATTGCAGGTGGACCAGTCTGGGCTCTTCCTGCCCTCTCGAGATTACTACTTAAACAGGACCGCCAACGCGAAAGTAAGGAGCACCCTCAGAACCTCATCCCCGTTTCCGGTTTACTCCGCCTTCGCTTTCCATCTGGCGTGGAGCATGGCCCGCCCCTCCCCCAGCCCATTCTTCTAAAAACATTTCGTAGCTACCTGCTGGTGCCAGCTGCGGCGTGTTGGGGAATCACGAGGTAGAATTTAGCATGTTGTGGGACCAGCAGTTGGCCTAATGGCTGTGTCGCTGGACTCCCATGTAGTCAACCGCGGTTCGAGTCCCAGATCGGGTGGCTTAAAACTCACGCCGGGCGCGTGTGCGTGCGTGCCCAAGATCCAGAGAGGAGAATGGAGGAGAGGGGATTGCGGCAGGGTCATCTTCTGGCCCCCGCTGAGCCTGACTCCCCGCCCTTGGGTTGGCTGGACTGACAGCCCTGCACCGGATCCAGTTCTGGGGAGAGGCCTCACTTTCTCTCCCCACAATTGCAGGTGGACCAGTCTGGGCTCTTCCTGCCCTCTCGAGATTACTACTTAAACAGGACCGCCAACGCGAAAGTAAGGAGCACCCTCAGAACCTCATCCCCGTTTCCGGTTTACTCCGCCTTCGCTTTCCATCTGGCGTGGAGCATGGCCCGCCCCTCCCCCAGCCCATTCTTCTAAAAACATTTCGTAGCTACCTGCTGGTGCCAGCTGCGGCGTGTTGGGGAATCACGAGGTAGAATTTAGCATGTTGTGGGACCAGCAGTTGGCCTAATGGCTGTGTCGCTGGACTCCCATGTAGTCAACCGCGGTTCGAGTCCCAGATCGGGTGGCTTAAAACTCACGCCGGGCGCGTGTGCGTGCGTGCCCAAGATCCAGAGAGGAGAATGGAGGAGAGGGGATTGCGGCATGGCCATCCCCTCTGGGGAGTGATTTCTCGCTTTCTATCTCTTTGTCTTTGTCTGTCTGGAGAGCATGCGCCCTATAGCAAAAACCTCTCAAAAAAAAAAATTTAGAATGTTGTCCACAGGAAGCTTTCGGTGTTGATGCATCCGTGGACCTGGGCAGCTGAGAACAGGATCAAAGGAGGACCTCAGGACTGAGGACAGACAGGTGTCAGAAGGTTCCCCAAGAGATTGCGCAGAGCCAGTCCTGTGCCCTGCGGGGCAGACGAGGGCATGCTGGGTAGAAAGATCTGTCTAAAAGAGTTGTTGAAGAGGGAGATGAAGGTGTGTTTGGAATAAGACGAGAGGTCTAGCTTGGAAAAATGTGATTAAAGGAGGCTTGAGGCTGAGAAGGTGGTCAGAAGCTCACTATGGAGGGGACCTTCAATGCCACGCAAAGGAGTTCTATCCCTCGGAGCGTTCTGCGCCGCCCTCCAGTCCCTCCGCAGACTTCTTTCTAGATAGAGGGTTCGTGTACTTTCCAGAGAGAGACAGAAAGAGGAGAACGCACACCATTCTCCCCCGCGGGATCTTGGGCACGCACACACACGCGGCACAGCGGGTTTATGCAGCAGCTGGGGCCCGTGTTCAGTCCAGCACACGGTTGGCTTTGTGGGCCTCGGTTCCCTTAACTGCAGCCCACTGGGCCAGCCCGCGGGCTTTCTAATCCCCTTGTAGATGCAAGAAAGGGAGCCAGGAAAAGAGTGAAGTCTCTGCGGTTTGCCAGGCTCCGAGTCAAACGCAGGAAGTGACCAGGGGGCGTTAGGGAGGGAAGGGCACAGGGGTATAATCAAGTCAGATTGTGAGTTATTGGTGAGTGGAAGGGAAAAGAGGAGAGAGGGCCAGCTGTTGGCGTGGTGACTAAGGCTGTTACTCCCACATGGCCAACTGTGCGGTTTGAGACTCGGAGAACCAAAAGATGTGTGCTCTCCTCTGCGCTCCAGCAGTGGGGAGAAGGAGCGCGGCGTGGCCATCACCGCGCTTTCCCACTTCCCTCTCTTTCTCCAGAACACATGCAACTACAGCAATAATAATAATAATAATTAAACACTAGCTCTTACTTTTTTACATCATTTTTATTTAACT